CGGTGCACCCATATTGGAATCAAACAGTGATAAGAGAAGAACAACACATTCAATCAAAGCAAACCTAAAAAGAAGCGCCGGTGAACCACTCATTTTCCTTGTCGCAAAAAAAAGACTCATTTGCACTTTGCACCTCCAAAATAAGGGATTTTTGCACTTTGCACCTCATAATTTTAAATTTGGCATTTTGCACCCAAAAAATAATAGTTTTTAACACTTTGCACCCCAAAATTTTAAATTTGACACTTTGCACTTCAAAAATTTTGATTTTTAGCATTTTGCACCATAAAATTTTAAATTTGGCCCCAAAACCTCCTAAATTATAAAAAGTGCACCATATCTTTAATTGCTTATTAAAATTGAGGATAAATTTAGAATTTCATGTGAATAAAGAGTAAAAGATCATAAAGGATTTAAACCTTTCATTTTTTTTTTATTTTTACTCTATTTAATAAATTTTCACTCAATTTATACACATATTAACAGCATATAAAAGATTAAAAAATTTAGTACTATTTAAAATTTTAAAAATTTAAAATTAAAAATAAAGTTTTGATAAAAAATATAAAAAATATTTAAAATGGCTATTTTATTTCTTAATTTGTCTAGATATTTTATACAAAAATAATTATTTGAAAGTAGTTATTGTAATTCTTAATTTGTCTAATATTTTATATATAAATAATTATTAGTTATTAATTTGTAGTCACTTCAAATATTTTTTATATTTTTTTATTAAAATTTTATTTTTAGTTTTAAAATTTTGAACAGTACTAAATTTTTTAATTTTTTACATACTATTAATATGTATATAAATTGAGTGAAAATTTATTAAATAGAGTGAAACTAACAAAACAAATGAAGGGTTTGTATCCTTTATGATTTTTTTACTCTTCATTTACATAAAATTCTAAACTACCTTTAATTTTAATGAGTAATTAAAGATAGGGTGCATTTTTGTAATTTTGAAAAATTTTAAGATGTAAAATATCAAATTTAAAATTTTAGGATGTAAAGTATTAAAAATTATTTTTTTAAAGTGTAAATGTTAAATTTAAAATTATAAGGTGTAATGTGTTAAAATTCTTTATTTTACGGTACAAAATGCAAATAATTCCAATAAAAATGATGAGAGCCGTATTAGAAGAAGGATGGTCTGCAATATCTCTCACTAGCAAGCCTCGATTACGCCAGCAGTGAGCAGCAACAAGAGAATCAGCGCCCGAGGGCAATGGCAAGCAGCGGTGGAAAGCTCCTTTCCCCCTCTCGACTAAGCTCTCTCTCTCTTTCTTCCTTATATCCGACAAAGCTCTGATTATCTTTTTGGTTTAGTTCAAGTTACTCTTGGTTCAATTTTAGTTACTTATGGGTTTAGTAGGGATTTGCTTGTCTGACTTTTCTGCTACTTTGAGCTGTAATCGTGTGCACATGTTTTGGATCTTTGGATTAGCCCATTTGAGCGAGTTTTTATGCAGTCACCATCTTCTTTCTTGTGCCTCTGGTTATTTGCTTTACCTAGTTTCAGAATCAGGTCGGGTTTAACAATCCTAACACTATCATCTCAACTACTGCTCTGATATGGTGGCTCTGCCTTGATCTTGGGTCCTCTATTTCATTTGACGATTGATTGAGTTTATGATGTCAGTATGATTAATGATTTATGCACATTTTGATTTACTGTTTTTTGATCAAAAAAATTGATAATTTTAATTTAGGCAAAAATCCAATAAATTATGAAGGAAATTTAGACGAAAGGGTTGAATAGTTGGCTTTTTTTATGGCCACACTTTGGTTTTGTGTTCTGCAATTAGATGCTGATTTTTTTTCCTTCTCTTGTTCACTGGATTTGTTAAATTGATTGGCTCTTACGAGGGCTTTTATATAGGATTAAATAAATAAATAAATAACAGAGGTTTTGACTCTGGAGTTGGTGGCCTAACTATTAAAGTAATCAAATTGGATTATTGAGTTAAAAAAATGGAAGATCAAAAAATATATATATTAGTCCGTTGGATTTTTAGAATCCGTTTGGATAATTCTTTTTTACAAAAAAAGTTTTTTTAATTAAAAAAGTGCTTGTGAAACATTTTAGAGCATTTGTGTAAGATTTTAAAATAAAGCAAAATCCAAAAATAGTAAGATTTAAAATTATTTTCACAGGCTAATTAGTCCCGTTTCTAAAAATAATCCAACAAGATAGAAAGAGAGGGAGCCATAAAAGGCAGAAGAATTTCTAGACAAAAATGGTCTTACATAACTTTCAAAATGACAACTCTATCTTCCCATTTTTTAGAGTATTTGCCTCTTCTCATTTCTTGATTATCTTCCTTCCTCTTCCTTGAATTGTCTTCCTTCCGCCGTCACTCCATGACCGTCTTCCAACAAAAATCTGCTTGTTTTAATCATTTACTATACCGTCACAAGCCGTTGTCAGCTGTCATTGTTGTAAGAACGAATGGCGGTGCTTACTGGCAAGATGTGGAGTTAAGGTGCTAGCTTTCTCCCCCTCCTCTGCCATGGATCTAGATGAAATCAAAGCCAACGAGTTGATTGACAGTGCTTGTCGGCCTTTGGCGAGCCTTAACGAGTCGATTGGTGAACTGATGGCATGTGAGGCCAAGTACAGGACAGCGATGATGTATATAATGGGGACGTCGACAGTACTCCATATCTGTGTTTCTCAAGTTTATTTGATGGCGGATACTGTGTTATTAAAATAACATCTTAGTACTTAATAATTATAGAAATGTATTATGTGTGTAACTTTTAAAATATAAAATAATTTAATTTTTATTTAATTAAATATAAAATTAAAAATAAAAAATTTAAATATTTAACATTTTATAATTAATTTATTAAAGTACTGTTGTAACAAAATAATACTTAGCATCAAATGAACCTTTTCTCGTATCAAAACTCTGTAAATCCCAAATCTCGTTGTCATTGCATTGCTTGACATCCTTTCTATTGGTTCAAACCTCTATAAGTCCAAGATCTCGTTATTATTATCTCACTCGATCGATAAGCCTCAAAGTGGACAATGATGACAAGCTTCCATGTTGGGGACGGCAAAAAGATTGAACAAAAACTGGCAAAAAAAATTAAAACAAGCAAAGGCCCAAATGGGCCCCAAAAAAAAAAAATCAAAAGAAACTTGGATGAACAGGGAAAAAGAAGATCACAAAAGAATTTAAAAATGGGACGTTGGAATTTATTTTGACTAGCTCAACTATCAAATTAAAATTAATTGGATGATTAGAAGTTAAAAGAAAAAAGAAAGAAATTGAATGACAAGAACAAAAGTAGTCAGTTGAATATTTAGTTTTTAATGAATTTAGGCCATGGATGCAATCATATGAATTTAAAAATAGGATGCGGGAATTTATTTTCGCTATCTCAACTATCAAAATAATTAAATTGGATAAAAAAATCATTTTAATGGATCAGGCCCAATCATAATTGGATACAGAGTTTTTAGTGGATCTAGGCCATAGGCCCAAATTACATGAGTACAAGAGCGATGTCTATATTTATATAATTAATAGCTTGGGCTGATCACAAGTATTATGCGGGTGAGTAATACCCGAACCGAGAGTATTATAAAAATTTAATATTATATTGAGAGTATGTTTATCTAATCATATTTAAAAATAGTTATAAATATATTATTAATTACAAGAAGTAGGTTTATAAGTGCTTTTATTTAAGTTGTTTTAGTTGAGATTGAAATAAAAGTAATATAGAAGGAGGCAATCTAGATAAGCAAAATTGCAATTTTTCAGTAAAAGATTAAAAATGCGGAAAAATAATCCATGCAGGCTCTATATTTTTAAAGAAAAAATATGATTAGTTAATTTTAGACATATTAATAAAAATATTTTATTTAAAAAATTGTGCAATTTTATAAGGGAATTCTCCAAGTTATGTTTATAAAATAAAAAATTGTTGAATATGTATTTTCAAAATAAAATAAAAAACTTTGGGGTCAGGTGGTTGGCGGGCTGTTCCCTGGTACTGCGTAACAGATGGCTATCGTTCTTGAAGGTTCAACTAGACTTGTCATGCAAAGCTCATTGACTTCATTTCTTTATATATATTACACAATCTCACGCATCCTTCACTGTATGCATCATTCCCCGGACAGTTCTAATGTTCAAAGTTGCGTTATAATACAAAAATAAAATAGAAAAAAGACTCTCTTTTATCTGAATCTACTTAACTAATACTAATTTCTATTCTTGTTATAAAAAGATATTTTTTTTATTTAATTAATTATTAATTAATGATAATTTAATAATTTTATTAAAAAACATGAGAGAGTGCCCTAATTTTATATATTTTATTTACTAAATTGATTATAAATTAAATATTATTTGGTTGACTTAAAAAGTTATTTTTTTAATTTTTAAAATAATCAAAAAACTAACTTTTGATAATTTAATTTTATTATTTTAAATTTTGAAATAATTTTTATTTTATTATTTTTATTTAAATTTAAATGTTAAAATAAAAATGGTATGACTGAATGTTATTTAAGTTGAAAAAGAGGATTGAGTGTAATTGAAACTAAAAAAAGCTAAATAAAATTAAAATATTATAAAAAATTTAAGAAACAAAATTTTTTTTATTGTTAAAAATTTAAAATTTTTTAAATAAATAAAATAAAATTTTAATTTTTAATCTTATAAGTAATTTAAACAGGTAAAATTAGATTATTCTTATTTATTTTTTAACAAATTGTTAAATAATCGTCAATCAACTATTAGTTAAAAAAGAAATATGTATTTTTATAATAACTGCCAATCAACTATTAGTTAAAAAAAATGTATTTTTATAATAAAAATAGAGTTAAAAGTTATTTAGATAAATTTTGGGAAAGGGAAGTGTTCTTTTTACCCAAACTAAATACATTTTATTCAGGTGACACTTGAAGGTAGGAACGTTCGCATAAAACCATACAATTTTATATGAAATACTAATATCTTATCTTAAAAAAAAAATTAATTGCTTTGGATCGCCAAGGGAACCACCTCCACCAGAGGAGACGGGAGCGGCGAGTTTCTGCAGATTGGGCAGGTCGGGTGGAGGAGCAACCATGGGTCAACGCATCCCAAATGGAAGAGGTGCCCACATTCCGGCAACAGCCGCAGGACATCCGTGTCTTTGTAGTCTGCCAGGCAGATGGAGCAGCTGGAAGCCGTAGACTTCGACGCACCGCCGTTCATGTGCTCCTTCACTTGGGAGTAGACGAGTTTCGGGCAGGCGATGAGACTGCTTTCATCGAGCCCTCTCTCATTGGTAGCCGGGGTGGTAGCGGTGGTGGAGATCCGGTAAGATGATATTCCGGGGAAGCGGAGGCGAGTGTAGACGCAGGAAAGATGGGCTAGGATGAAGATTAGCACCAGAAATCCAATGGACAGTCCCATCCCAAGCCTTAACATGTTTATGCTGTTTCCTTCTTGTGCATCATCTGCAACTACTGGTCCCTCCGGGGTTGTGCGGTGGTACTAATGCTATTATTCATTAGAGAGAGAGATGTTTAAGGAGAGGGTTGAAGAAGAGGAGAGAGGTCGTAAGCACGGGAACGACTATATGTTCGAGGTAAGACCACTGGGGGTAAGTTTGGTTAAAATTAGGAATGAGTTCAATTTTAATCTTATTTCATATATATTTGATTCAAAATTTAGAATTTTAATTTGATTAAAATATTTAATTAATCATATTCGATTATAAATATTTGTAATATAAAATAGGTAAGTTAAATATAAAATTAAGTTATTTGAATCTAAAATGTAATAATATTTTTAATTAAATCAATAATCATATATATATGATATTAATAAATTTAAAATTGTAGAGATTAGATTGAAAAAAATTAAAAATTTTAAAAATTAATATAGTTGACAAAATAGAATTAAAGGACTCGTAATGATCATTTTTTTATCAAATCAAATTTTCTTATTGGTATAGATTTCGAAATATCCATCGAATTTGGATATGATTTAATAAATATAAATTTTATAAGATTATGAATTAAATTTAAAATTGATAATAATTAATTAAATTTAAATTCAAATATATATAATTTAATTCAAATTTGATTCGTTAATAATCCCAAGTAAAATGATGAGCTATTGAAGCTGTCTATAGATGGAAGTAGCATTTGGTGTTATCTCTTACAATTTATTCGTTTTTAATGGGGTAAAATTTTTAAAAAAATTGAGGAAAATTTGATAAAATTTGTAAAACAAAAAAATTCTAAATAAGCAGTTTCAAGAATTAAATTAAAAAAGAAATCAAAGGCATACCCTCGGATGTTTACTTTTTTTATTTTGAATTTTTCATCTTACTTTACTTTATTTATAAATTTTAAATTAAAATATAAATCGTAATTTGCTATAAGAAAAAGTGCATTGTAAGACGTATAAAATCTGTTAAAATATCAGTCAGAAAAAGCTGATTTTTCGTTTGAAATGAGAATTTTTGACAGAACCTGTCAAAAAATTTGCCCATTGAAAAACTTTTTCAACGGAATATTTGGTCAGTTGAAAATTTTCGAAGGACAAAACCATTGGAAATGCCAAAGCAGTCTATTGCAAAAGTCTTTTGTCGGACTAGAAATCCGTCCGTCGGATGTAAAATTTGTGATGGACATTTTGCCTTTCCAACGGCTAATTTTCAGTTTTAATATTTAATTTTTTGACAGAATATTCAGAATTTTTTACAGAGTTTTTCTGTTAGAATTTTTTTTAACAAAAATGTTAAAAAGACTTCCGACTGCTTATCCATCGGAAAAGGGTTTTTAAAAAGAAGGAAAAAAAAAACCCCACACTCCCTCCCTCCTTCAAGCTCCCCTCACGCCTTCACTCACGGAAGCAAGCTTTCATGGAGACCAAACATGCAGCGGAAACATTACGTGAGCAGACAAGAAGAAGCTGTGAGGTGAGACCAGATTTTGCTTGAGTCTCCAGGTTCTTTCTCCAGCTTTTGGTCATTAGGTTGCTGATTTATGGGGCTTCCATCTACTTTACACAACCGAATCCCCACCCGCACCCCCCACCAACCAATTACAAAATGACAGCGCGTATCTATTTACAAGTACAAGGAGAGAGACAATAAAATAAACTAATATGACATAGAAGCAATCGATGGATAAAAGCTCCTTTCTCCTCCATTATTTCGGCTGTGTATTCGCCAATCACTCCAGTGGCCCACCCATTTTGAATTTAGCTTCTAGAAGCTTAATCGCTCAATCCAAGGGATAATGGAGAGGCCTCCTCCAATAGAAGGAACGTCACTTCCACGTCATCATCGACCCCTCACCGCAAAATAAAACACAAAAATTACATGAATAATAAATAATAATTAAAAAAGTTAAAAGAATTACACACCCGATTCTGATGCTATTAATTAATTATCAGGATAAATATAAAAATAAATCAAAATTAATATTCACGCTTTTGTTAGAAATTATATCATTTTTTCTAATTTTCTAGAAGTAGTAGTAATTGATAATACTTGTTTTAAGTGTAGAAAGCAGACCTAATCACTTATTTGTAAATTCAGGTATTCCTCACATTGAATAACTCCTAAGTCACTTAAGTTTCATTCCTATCAAGGAATTTCTAAGTCGGATTTACATTATAACTACCCTGCACTTCACTACAAAGTGTGCTACCTATTGCACAAAACTCAAATAATCAAATCATGTAACATAGGCTTGGATCATATATTTCAACTTATTTTTCATAAAAATAAAATTTAATTAATTAACTTTAGCCCATTAAGATTTTTTTCCCTAATATTCTCCAACTTGGACAAAGTTAATTATAACTTTTTAAAAAATTTTGAAAACGACTCTTGGACTAGATAATCAACAAAAATGATTATTCATGATCACAATTTAAAAAACTATATGATAAAAAAAAAAAAACACTCTAAACTACTCGAACCAAATAATATTAATCATGTTGAATCCTGGGGGCTTTGCATCCTTAATCGGCACAAGATCTATCTATGGTCACAAACATAATTAGTATTATTACAATGAGTAGCGCGGTGTAGTAGTGCAACAAGAAAATAGCCTTATGTGATCCAGACCAATCGTTTTCAATGTTAGTCTAGAATTTCTCAATCAACATGCCCAAAAATGACATACAATGGAGAAATCTATTCCTCCATCATTTGCTTAAAACCAAATGCATAGAAGAAACCTATACTTTAGTGTGATGTGCATAAAATCTAAAGATATCTTAGATATATCTTATATAAATAAATAATCCATAACATGTATCATAATATTATGTATAATAGTATATCAATTATTTTTTAAAACAACCAAAAATAGTTATATATATATATATATATATATTAACATCAATGCAAAATACTCCCACTATAACCAAGAGTATCAAAAGAACTCAAAATACCCATATTTACAACATGCTTTTGAAAACATACGAGTCTAAAACCTTTGGTTATTGAATTAGTTAGTATAGAATTCATATTGATGTACTCCATAATAACTTCCCCTTTCTTCACGAAATCTCTAATGGTTAAATATTTCAACTCTAAATGCTTAGAGCCATTGGATGTTTTATTGTTCATTGTGAAAAACACTGTAGCACTATTATCGCAGAAAATTTTCAATGGTTTGCATATGGAATCAACAATCATTAATCCTATAATGAAATTTTTTAACCAGACAACTTGACTAACAGCACCATAACATGCAATGAATTCAATTTGCATAGTGGAAGAGGCTGTGAGAGTCTGTTTCACACTTATTCAAAATACAGCATCCTTAGTTAAAGTAAAGATATATACAGAAGTAGAATTTAAATCATCAGGGCATCCAACAAGATTAAAATCTGTATATCCAATTAGTTCTAGGTTATCAACTCTTCTGCATACAAGCATGTAATTTTTCGTTTTCTATATGTATCTCATTACTTTTTTAGCAATGACCCAATGTTGATTCCTAGGGTTAGATAAAAATCTGTCTAAAACTTCAACAATATAAGATATGTCAAGTTGAGTGTAAGCTTGAGCATACATCAAACTTCCCATGGCACTGGCATAGGAAACTGTACTCTTCTACTATTTCTCAAGCTCATTTTTAGGGCATTGACTTTTACTAAATTTTTCACCATTTATCACAGGCACATTACCAGGTTTACAATCTTGCATATTGAATCTTTGAAGCACCCTTTCAATATAAGTTCTTTGGGAAAGTCTTAACAAGTATCAAGATCTATCTCTATGGATTTCAATGCCAAGCATAAAAAATGCCTTTCCAAGATCTTTCACATCAAAAGTTTTGGATAACAATTGTTTGGTCTTGCTGAGTGAACCAAAGTCACTGCTGGCCAACAGAATATCATCAACATAGACAATTAGAAAAATAAACTTACTCCCTCTGATTTTTAAATAGATACAATTATTAACTGTATTCTCTTCAACACCTAGGGAAGTGACAACTTTATCAAATTTTAAATACCACTAATGAGAAACCTACTTTAGGCCATAAATAGATTTTTTTAATTTGAAAACTAATTGCTTCTTCCCTCCTTCCTAAAAACCCTGAGGTTGTTTCATATAAACTTCCTCTGTTAAATTACCATTCAAAAAAGCAGTTTTGACATCCATCTAATGTAATTCAAGATTGTAATAAGCTACTAATGCCATAATAATGCGGAAGGAATTTTTAGAGGATACTAGATAAAATGTCTCTGAATAATCAATTCATTCTTTCTGAATAAACCCTTTGGCAACCAGTCTTGCTTTAAAGCACTCAATTCTTCCTTTAGCATCTTCTTTTGTTTTGAACACCCATTTGCAATCTATAGCTTTGTAGTTTTAGGAAGTGCAACTAGTTCCCACACTTCATTGTTAGCCATAGACTGGATCTCTTCTTTCATGGCATTTATCCATAAGTCTGACTATGTGCAAGAATAGCTTCCTAATAAGTCACTGGTTTAATAATCTGTCCAATATCATAATCAAGCTCCCTAAGATAAACATAATAATCATTAGGTATGGTGAATCTTCGTTGTCTTCCAAATCTTCTAGGGTGTGCTTGCTCACTTGGTTCTACAAAATGGGGATTTTCTTAATATATAGGAACATCATCCATATGTACAATACTATCTTGAATAGGTGTAGAGATAGTAATATCGTCCATAATAGGTAATGGGAAAGTAACAAATATATCTTGAGTAGTATCAACATTTTCAACTTTGGAGGGTTCAATCTCTGCCACATCTATTAGCTTCAAGATTTTATATTTATTTTGATAATGATAAAACAAATTAAAATTATTATATATATTTATATAATAGATAATTTGGACAAATTATATTGTTAAATTTATTATTTGGAGATACATACACTATATGTGCCACAAAGTGAAATTGTCAAATTAGACATGTATGTAGTCAAT